TATTGGCTAGCAATTGTGAAACCTTCCAATTTCCTGCCCATGATTTTCTCCATATTTCAAACTAGAGGAGAAGATAATGAAACAGTCCATATATTTCAATTTCTCCCTTATATTTGATTAAATTTTCATTGAATTGAATCGATACTACTCATCGAGATGTGCAAACAAAAATTAATAGGAAGACATACGTCTCAAGCAAAAAATGTTCAATTTACATCAGTTTGACAAATTTGGCAGGATAGGGGAAACTTTGGAACATGACAACCTACTCAAGGGCAATTAGGCTACAAAGTTGTTCATGGAAAAGCGTTGTTTTTTCCTGCCTTAATCGAGTGCCAAACGCGGGAATAGATTCACCAGCATCTACCATATTCGAAGTCATAATGAACAAGTGAATTAAAGTGCATGGAAATATTACAACAGTTTTCGTACAAATAGGTCTCAAAGATTGAAAAAAAAAACACACAATCACTTGCATAATTACTTTCCCCGGTCGTTGAACATCCATTCAATCTGCTCAAATTTCTCCTCTGCGGCTTTCATGACGGCGAGCATGTCACGGTACCGCTTATGGGCTAGAAATTGGCATGCGAAAAAGTAAAGAGTTGTATGCCTCTCGAGTTGGCTTGTCGCTAGCAACTCTTCGACACTGTTCATGCCAGCTCTTTCATTTGAAGACATCATCGTATGAATCTTCATCGCCACTTCCTCCGCCACACTGGTGGCGTGGTCTACTGAGAAGGATAGTTCACGAACATACATCTTTTTTTTCTTGTCCCTCCGCTACCCATTAGAAGACTTCTTTTTACTGCCGCTTGTGGTGCTAGAAACGTTCTCGCGGGCACCGACCCTGCCTGTTCGGCCTCATCACTTGAACCACTGCTCTCGTTGTCCACTGGGATTGCATCCCTATTGTCCTCGAGCGCACTATCCTCGTACAAGCTGAATCTCGTTCTGCACAACTTCGTTGGAGTGACAGCATATATGTCTGCATCATAGCTGTCGCCGAATAGCTGACGGTATTTTATGTATATTTCACTGACGTTTCTGTCCTTGAAGTCTTTATAGTCCTTGTTCTGCTGCATAAATCGGGACCCACAGTGAGAGTACTGGAGGGAAACGCAATTCGAAATGTATCAAAAATATAAACAACCGCTATAGAAAAATTAATATTGATAACGAAGTAAACGACATGAGCAAGTCAGTTCATACACATGGGGTGGGCACTTTAATGAGACACTATGAGATTTTAAATGTAACTAATTCAACAGAACAAATGTGGAAAAAATCCTATCTTTTTAAGATGTCTGATGGCTGATGCAAATGTGAAGACAATATTGAGACGTTACCAAAAAATCAAGTAAAAAGGGAAAGAATATCAATTTAAAGAGTTGGAATCCAGGAAATTCATATTTTCTTCCCACTATCTTCCATTGAAACAAACTGAGCATGAATGAGATACTCAAGCTTGCAGTACTATACTCTACACCAAACTACAGGTATACCCATCACTGATGATGAAGCAAGTCTCAGATACTAAAGTTTCATACAATAAAGAATCAATGATTGATAGTATAACAACATCTATTCAGCAAAATCCGAATAAAGTGTCTTCTCATTTTATGCAATCGTCAGCTTAAATATGAATTTTAAATATTCTTCCCCTCATACATGCATTCTTACAGTCTTAGACCATAGACCTTAAAGAGGTACTTTATCACATTTCTTGTTAATCACCCAGGTCGATCACCTATCAACATTGTTGGAAGAAATCCTTGCTCGTCCATTCAAGTTATTACTTGACATAAACATGAAATCAAGGCATCACCTCAAACCGAAACAACAACTAGGGTATTCTTACCATTACTAAGGGAGAAAAAAGATTGTACGAGGTTGCCTTGATGCTTGGAGAAATGTAAAGGGGCAAAAGGAAAAGACGTTATGATAACTCGAACAAACGCCAAAATTAATCTTTGGATTTAAGACTTGCACACATGAATTTGTATTCCTAGAAGTAGCACAAAGCATTCCGTACATTGTGCGAGAAAACAAGTTCAGTGAAAAAGACATATAACGAATACCAAACGTTTGATGCTGGTTTGGGCATTAACCTAATGCAGCAGTGTTTTCATCAACACTCACAATACTTGCCATCAAAACATATAAAATTGAATATGAGTTAAAGGCTAAGAAGTATAATAAAGTTTTTGGTACAATATAATTCAGTTTTTAAACTAAGAACTCTGATGCAAATGTAAAGACACGACAATGCACCGGAAAGGCCTTAAGCAAGCGCAGTAATCACACTTGCAAGAAAATGGGGTGATGAGAAATTGGGAATCCATTACCTTAATCTTTCGATTTCGCCATTCTTCAGAAGCAACGATTCGATCGGTAGCATCGTTATACTCAATCCTGCTACTATTGACAAGCTCTAATAGACGCTTGTATGTTTTTGCGCATTGAGTCTCAATGATTTCACAGCTGTTGCTAGCTCCAGTTATAGTCGGTCACTGAATTGAAGAGTGAGGCAACTCGCCCGTTCCGGTGTCCCTCGGCAATGGCGGTCTCGCACGCCGCAATGAAGGCTCGGGTGGCATTTGGACTCCATCGAGCATATGACTTCACGGCCGGCTGTCGTGACGTCCCCGTCGCAGGGTAGGAAGGTCCTCCAGCAAGGTTTCCTGGCTGCGAAGTGGAAGAGTTGGTCTACAGCGACAAAAATCGGGGAGAAATGGAAAGGGAAAGAGATTGTAGTATTCGTACCTGTTTCTCGGTGTGATCCATTGTTGGTCATCGGCGCTGTGTCGGTCTGGCATCGTCGTGTATATGGGAACTGAGAGGAATTGGTGACGGTTGCTATGGGACGTGTTCACGGTATGAGAAGGTGAAAGTTTAACGGCAGTGCACAGGTTCTTCAAATATTCGGCTAGTGTATTGGGTAGGTAGACTCTTGTTGGTTTCGGAGCTGAAGGTTGGAGAAAGAAAGTGTCGGTGGGAGAGGCATTGTGAGGGGAAAAAAATTGATGTACTGTATAATCACGCAGGGGTTGTCAGACAATTGGGTAGCAACGTTCGAATAATTAATTTTGGGTACGTGAAAATGGCTACCAAACAGCCTCTTAGTTTATTGTGATTTCACTTTGATTTAGTTAGTATTTAAATTTATAGTAGATATACTCAACCCCTTGTTTGAGCCATATTTTTCACATCATCATAATGAGAAAATTGATCGTTGGAGAGGAGGCTGGGTCCCACACATGAAACAATAGGTTAACGAAAGCGGTTGGACTTGTGAGATAACGGTCCAAATTTTCATTTTTTTGTCCCAAAAATTTGGTTCAAACAGGAGCTTAGTTTGTTTTAGATTTATTGCTAATAAGATATAAATATATATCGAATTCAATGAATTAATGACATAAAAGTAGACGGGCAAAAAAATATATGGCGAAACCGACAGTTTAAAAACTGGACCAAACCGTTAGGTTTAGGTTTGAGTTTTTTCAAACTGTTCAAAATAGTTTGGTTTAGGTCTGGATTTTTCTCAAATCGGTTTAAATGGATTGATTTAAAAATCTATCAAAAACTGGTAAAATCGGACCGCTTACACCCCTAGTTTGTTGGCTATAAAATCCCACAAACTGCACCCAAAAAAAAAAAAAAAAAAACCAAATCAAGCCAAAAGGAGGCAGCAAGTTGGGGACACCGCCAAACTTATACCACATGAAACTCCCCACGTCTCTTTTACAATGATCAATGAGCATACAAAGAGATACGAGAATTCATCCTAAATTTATATAAAGCATGTGTCATTCCTCTCTTTCCACTACTAAAAAATATGGCTTCAGACACGAATTTTCTGTTCCTGAAATCTCGATATCCGTTGATATTACCCTTTACCAACTGAATATTTGCAATCACAAATTCGTTGCTAATTTGAGGGTGACTGATAGTTATCGACGGATCCTGCTGTAGGTAAAGAGTAAACATTTTATCAACGAAATTTTCGTTAGTAAAAATTTAACCAATACCAACAAACTTTCCGTTGGTAAGTATCTACCATTACAATTGGTAAAAATCAATGTTGTAACTAGTCACATAGGTGTGAATGTGAGGCATGCTAAAAAAAAATTATTTATTTATTTATTTATTATTGTTATTATTTTTTATTTAATAATTCTATTTTTTTTAAACTTTTAGCCAACCAAATTGAAAGGCCAAAATATTGTTTAACCATTTATTGAACCACAAATTAATTTATAGAGGGCAACTCCGAAGACTTTGTTGTGAACTTTCGATGAGGGATAAGTGAATTATTTTTACCAATAGATAATCCGTTTCTAATTAACGAAATATCCGTAGGTGAAAAATCCAAATGTTAAACGATTACATGAGGCACGGCATATCCGTTGGTAAAGAGATATCATCGTTACTAATGGAAAATTCATTGATGATTATTGTAGTTGAAAGTGAATTACTTTTTCTAACGGATAATCCGTTTCTGATTACCAACGGATTGTATCTGTTTGTAATATTTGGTACGTCACCTACGGATATTCCGTAGGTGAAAGATCCAAATGTTAAACGGTTACATGAAGCACGGAATACTTGTTGTTAAAAAGATATCATCGTTACCAATGGAAAATCCATTGCTGATTATCGTAGCTGGAAGCGAATAACTTTTACCAACGAATCTTCCGTTGGTAATTTTTCGTAGATGAAAAGCTCTTTTTTAGTAGTGCTCTAGTTCGACAATAGGAGAGCTTTCGAGCTTATTAAGAACATTGGCGGAGCTCGAACTCTAACCTTCGACTAGATATTGAGAGGCTAGTTTTATAGCAACATCGTAATTTTTTGTATACGGAATATTTTTCATGAGTGAGAGAGAATGGGGATTCAAATAGAACATTGGAAATTACAAGGGAATAATTTTTCCCACAGAAGACAATAGAATGAGTAGAACAGCCAAGGAACAGTTAAAATTTCAATACCTACCAAAATTGTGGAAACAAAAAAGATGATTATTTATATAATCCAAGAATTTCATGCGAATAACCAATTAAGATTTTCTGTTTGTTTGCAAGCTCTAATCTTAACCAATTACAAATCCCAAAATAACAATGCCAAGGACGAAGCCCCTGTTATTCAAATAAGATGATTCAAGTTCTACAAAGCAGTAAAATATAGCCAAGGATGAGTTGCCAATTCTCCATCGGAGTGCAAGCTCAAGTTGTGGTGCTGATTGGTGCACATTTATCGATAAATAATTGAAGCATGTCATCAGGTGGTTGGAAAATATCGTGCTTGTTCAATATGTTCGAGAAATCAGAGTTAGCAGGCAAGAGACCCCAACTGCTACTTTCCGAATGATGAATCTCAGCTTCTGTCTTTATTGAACTATTTTAAAGAGAGATTTTTACCATATGTTTTGGATGAAAGCTTTGATTGTTGTGTATTCTTCGTGTTTAAAAACCACCCTCTGGAACTCCTAGCCCTCTTTAATGCATGAAAATGCCTAGATTCGTGAAGATATGGCTACAATAGGGAAAGACAAAAACAATTAATAGCATAGAAACATGTAATTTTATGTAGAGCAATAAAACGAAGGATCAAAAGTTACAATTACCTTTCTTGACTTGGTCAGCTTATTCTGAGCCTCATGCAGACACTAAACAAGATATAAAATACATCCCATTGCATTGGATTAATTCCATATACGTATAACCACATTCAAATTTTTTCAGGGCATTAACATTATTGAGGTACATGATTCATCAAACTTGAATTGAAATAACCATATGATCATCAACTCGAATTTACACACCAATACAACAATTAAACCAAAACTTTCTCTAGCCAATCATATAAAGAATTTCAAATCCTCCAAGTCAACATTAATTCAAATCACAGCACATTCTAACAATGCATAGACTTAGATAATTTCCAACAATTTGATTCAATGAAGAAAGGAAAACATGGCAGTGACTCTGCTAGAGACATGCAGTTAAGATCATAAACCCATTCTATATCAATTCATGGTGATCTAGCATGCTTGATAAAATGAAGACTAACTACCAAAGAGTCACCAAAAACAAATTGCAAGCTAAATTGATCATAGAATTTAAGCTAATTCAAATCAATTTTGCAATAGAAAATCATTTCAATTTATCACACACCCCCAACACCAACAAAGGTTCCGAGCATATATTTTCACACATTCAGGTGAATAATACAAATAATATATTAATCCTTAGTTCGATGAAACAAGAAGCACTTAGAAATCACTAAGCACTAAGGTAAATAAACCCAGCACTGCAGAGAAGTTAAAAGGATTTAGTACACGGATAATATTCAGTTGACATTAAATGTATGTGCACAGTGTATTGATAGGAGGCTAGTATAATTTTCCTTTCACATGATGTCAAATCTTTTAGCATTTTGAGCATTATTTCTCCTTAGTAACTCTTGTCATCGCTCCAATTGTATACTATATAGTAGTATTCCTAAATTTAACTAGCTCTGCTATGGAAAGTGGAACTATTCTACTATTAAAGTTAACTTCCATTATTTTCTAATCACCAAGCTCTACCATTCTTTCCACTGAAAATTCACATTTCTAACCTTTTAACTAATAAATAATTCGCCATTACAAATCAATAAACAAAAATTTCAAATATTCACAACACATAAGCCAAATTTCATAATCACGGACACATATATCTATATCAGTTTATTTTCAAGGAGATCAGATGTATAAATCTCATAATTAATTTCTTCAAAAAGATTAATGAAAGGGCATAGTAATAATAAGCTATTGCAGAAAACTGTCGAAATTCCACCCTCCGACCAGCAACTTGATCTTGGACCATCACCGATTAGTTGCCCACGTCCAGGCGACTCTAACTAGGGCTCAATTCAGTCCAAACAACACTTAGTCTATCTGAATCGATTCCATAAAAATCGCCATTCGCAATCTTCATTTGACCCAGTTTGATTTCTTCAAATTCCGACGTCGTCACGTAAACCCATGGTGGCGAACCACATGGGTCGACATTGTCTGCCTTTGCTGCACTTTGCCCAGAAACGGATCCAACCCAATTTCGTCCAAAACAGGTGGTGGGGTGTCAGAAAGAGGATATTTGAGAGAGAGGGGAGAAACGGGAATGGGTGTGTTTCCCGTGTTTTGTAGAAATACTGTACTTTGGCTTGAAAAATGTTTCGTGTTTTCAGTACAATTTTTTTTTTTTAAAATTTAATTTTTAAAATGAGAAAGAGAATGCGTTTTCATTGTTTTGAAAAATTGAAAACAGAAGACAGCATAAAAACAGCAAAGTGAACAGCCCCTAAGTTTTTCTTACATTGTGTCGTTAATTTGAATGTGATGAACTAGCTTTTATCTTATATTATTTAGGTGGTTTAGATGGTGTTTTGATTTAGGGGAAAAAAAAAACTACTTAAATCTTAAAAAACCTCTAATAAAACAATAATCTTATCTTGTAAAATCCCTGTTAATCTAAAAATATTTAAGTATAATGTAAATTAAGAATCAAAAGAGGGACAATTGAAGGGATGAAGATAAGTGTCCTTCTCTGTATGTATCCCGAATTTTTGATGTAGAACATATTCATGATAGAAATATCCTGCTGTATATAGTGATCAATATTCATTTATTAGTAATAAGCGAAAATGACAAATTTTTTGAAATTAAAACTCCACAAAATATTTTATGTTTCTTTACCACTTAAGGGCGTCTCCAAAAATCCCATTCCATTAAGAGAAGTTTGTGGTTTGTCTTTGATGCTACACGTAGGTGGGTGAATGAAACTTGAATATTACAAAAGGTGGCTTCATTGAATAAGTTAAAGAAACATGGCTCAAATATAGATGCCTACAAGAGGATGAAAGCAGGAGTTTATCATCTGAATACCAGATATATTGTTGACATGCGATCAATGGAATTCACTATTTCAGAAATTATTAGTTTCCGCAATGATCAACTGTACTCAAAAGTTGTTATTCTTGTAGATGCGTAAGTTCCTAAGCTATAGTTGAGGATCATTGCGGAATGATCAACTGTACTCGAAACATTTCTATTTGCATGTTTTGTAAGCGAAATAATTAATGCGGCATATACCATGACCACTCCGTGAAACACGTAACCTCTAAGTATTATAATATGATACCATGAATTTCTCTTGCTTATCTTCGTGTTCATCCACTTCCAGGTCTCATTGTTCTTACTACCCTGAAAATCACTTAGCCTATGTATCTTCCTTTTATTTCTATCCCAATTGTGAATCAATATCAAAGTTGATTTTTCCCTTCTGTTAATGCATTTTACTGCTTTGTTCTTGTTGAGGATGCAATTACATAAATATGTTTATCCTCTCTTTATATTGGAACATGCTACACAAACATAATGGTTGACATGCGGGATGATCGAACACTCACACCTCGGGGGGTCGGGCATTATTTTATTCACACGGGGTCCACGCTCCATGTGAGGATCGGTCACCCATTCGGTTACCCATTTTCGGGCACTTCAGCATTATTCCTTTATATTAACTTAAGATTTTAGATTGATGTGGTTTGACGTGGTGACAAAGCACTCAAAGTTCCTTAGTCTGGATAGCACCTATTACAAATTTTGCTTATGTTAGCCTTTGATGCAGTGAGGTGCCCCTTGAAGATATATTCTAAATAAATATGTTTTTCCTTTCTCTAACATCTTAATCTTTTAGATGAGATAGTAAATTGATCCAAGACTGGTACTTGGTTGAAGAGTGTGACGATCACCTCTAAACGCTTTAGACTGATAGATATTCTTGGTTGTGCAAATTGACATTAAAATTATCCAAATAATACCACTTTTTTTTTTTTTTTTTTTTTTTTTTTTTTTTTTTTTAATCTGAAACTCATTTTCTATTTATAGAAAGCTGTAAAAATTGAAGAAAAAATTTATGTACTGTCATTGCACTTGCACAAATTATTATTCTCTAGCTGATTTGAAGAAAATTGTTAGAAAATTACAATTTCTATAAAGTTTTTCACCTACACGGCCCTGTAAAGTGAGCTTACTGTCTCTCTCTCTCTCTTTAAGTCCATATTTACCTTAAAAACTATACTAAGCCCTTTTTTTATGAATTACAGTATGACTACAATGTGGGAGACAATGAGACTGAACCACGAAAAACAATCAAGGATAGTGCGAGCTCTGAGGCATTTCGACATTTCTTAATCTCCTAAAAAACAAGTTGTTACCAATACAAGCGCACTTTAAAGTTATACAATGTTTTTCAGAAGTGGCATTTTCATTTCAGTAAACTCATGTCTCAGCAGAAAAATTATATCAAAACTCTTCCTAGAGATAAAAACTCAAACGAGAAAGCCCAAAATCCCCCGATACAGACACTTTTGCACGTTTGTCTTGATTACCTTGAGAGAATTCGTGATAAGTCAATGAAATACACTATTAGGAACTTTGCTGATGTGATTCATACTATATTGCAGTGTCAGGGAGAGGAGTGGGAGTTAAGTTTCAAATATGCAAAGTCTAGAAAGGAGCTTCATAAAAGAGTCTGAAATTTCGATAATCGGTGGAATAAACATACGAAGGGAAAACCAATGAATACAGGGCACTCTATGAGAATCATGTTAAAGCAACGACACTGAAATTTAAAGGCGATGAGGAAGCATACAAAGGAAATGTGTCCTGGTCAGACAGAGGTCTCTGATGAGTCTACAAAGCAATTTACCAGTACTTTTCGAGGCACTTTCAGATTTTTCTCTTGCTTGTTCGGATATGCATAGCAACTTGAGGTCTGTCGCATGCAATCACAAAGCAGAAGTCATGGTTGATTGAGATGATCTTGTTCAAAGAAGATCGATAAAAATATTTAATGTTCGTTAGTATTCACATCATTTTATTTACTTTCAAACTATGGAATTTCATTGTCCTTCTCGTCCTAGAATTTTTTTTTTTTTCTCTGTTAAATATTTTCATGTGCTGGATCGTTGGGAAAGTGAAGTTGACCGGGCATACTAGAAGATGATGATCCAAATTTTGCCAAGACCAAAAAATCACGTTTAGATTAATGTTTTCTCCAAGTAGGAACTAAAGAAGACAATTTTAACGCCCTTTTGTTATTTAAAATTTTAATACGCCCATAGAACTTTAAATTTTGTAAATTAAAATTTAAGATATTCTATTTGAAGACAAGTTAAGAGTCATGTTAAATTTGTTAGTTAAAATTCTATCTTTTTGTTTCTTTTCTGTGTCAAATTTCGTGCTATGACATGTGCAGATAGATTTCTCGTGCTTCATGCACAAGCTATTGCTTAATAGATGAGCCAACTACACATGCAAAGAGTATATGAATTGAAGTTTGCCCGCCGGGGCATAACCTAGTAGGTCAAAGGATAGAAGTGAAGTTATCTCACGCCTTGCTGATAGTCGCAGTGTTTGGATTTAATTCCCGAAACATGGAATTGGACTCCTTGTAGACGCAGTGCACATGCAGCTCTTGTTCCTTGGCTTGTTGGGGTGCACTCCGCGATTTACCTCCCTCACAAAACTCTAATGGCGGGGCGGTGGGGGCCTTCAGGATTGGGGTTCCACCCTTTTTTTAGTATATGAATTGAAGCATGAATAAGGAAGTGTCGATAGAAAGGCATGAATTAATGTGTGCAAACAAAGTAACTTTTCTTCTAATGTGTAACGAAGTAGCCTCTGGCGGCAACAAATGTGCAAAGAAACCATCAATTGACAGAATATTTGTTTTCAAAAGAAACAATTAATTGACTACATGAATTCACAGAATTTGTGCCAGCATACGAAACACGATGTTTACAAAAAAGAGTAGTGCCAATTGATAGAATCTATGTAATTACTTAATAGAAAATAATTGTTCCAGAATGAAAAAGAAAAGCTGGGATATTTCATTGATTATTCAACGTGATATGTATATAAATCAGCAGAATTAATCATTAGGTGTGCATATAGAATTGCGGCAGATTGTATATATAAGATTCACATGTTACCAAATTAATTTTGGTGCATATGATAGATGAATATACTTATAAAAAATTACCATCTTCGGTAGAGTTTGGAAAATTAAGTTTTTGAACTGAAAACGTGTTATGAAAAGAAAAGAGAAGAGAATATAAGAATCGAAACTCAAGTGTGTATTTTATTGAGAATCAATACCCGTATTTATAGAGTTAAAATTGAAATAAAATAGATTTTCTGAACTAGATAAGATTTATCTGTATATCATGATAATAATAAATAATTATCTCATTATTTTACAACAATATTGTATTTTTGGATATTTTATTTTTTATAGGGTATATACAATTTTTTCCACAGTTAGTTTTAGATTGTGGACCAAGCCCAAATCATCATTGCTCCAATTAGGCTGTAGATTGAAATCACAGCCCAACATTGATAAACTTGCTGAAAAGATGATAGATGAAAAAAGGGAAAATTAAAGGAAAACATGTATTTAAGATTTCATTATCAAAAGTCAGGTTATTATATTTTTTATTCAAAAATCAGGTGTTAAATATATTTTTATTTAAGGATAATTATCATTACAAAACAATTTCATTGCGGTGTTCGAAGTGATTTTAAAAGGGTAAGATGGAACCCATATCAGTTAAAAATCAAGAGTTTATTTTGATTGTAAATGGGTAATTTTGTACCCATAACACTTGGAAATCAAGAATTCATCTGGGCGTGATTTTTGAAGTGAATTTTTTTTTTCTTTTTTAAGAATATAAAGTGGTCGTTAAATAATGAAAGAGTTCCGTTGCAATGTACAACTGGAAGTGATTTTAAAAGGATTTCTTACAAATAAGCTCTAAATTTATCCTTACTTTATACAAAATGTATGAATCGTTTAACTCTTTGTACGAAAGCAAGACTAGATTTATCATTATAGTCATGACTCATGATCATCTGGTTTAAGAAATATGCACGTCTATTCTACTTGTTGATTTTTCCAAATAAGCTCTAAATTTATCTTTACTTTATACAAAATGCATCAATCGTTTAGCTCTTTGTAAGAAAGCAAGAGTTGATTCATGCCATTTATTCGTCAAAATTAAAATAAAGTAATAGCCTTCTTTCTCGATTATTTTGTCTTTTTGTAATGAGCGATTTATAATTATAGTCATGACTTATGATCGGTTGGCTTA